GCCTAGCGGATAGGAAACCGAGTGGTCAGGTTTCACAACATCACAGAAGTCCCACAGAGATTTGCTTGGAGATATCTGCTGTTGAGCAGCGATAATGGATCTGCAAAGGAGAGGAGGAAGGGCCAGGTTATGGGCTTGGCTGTCTTTGTCTTTAGAGGGCTGCCGGGACCACAGAAAACACTGAGCAGCCGCGGAGGGCTCTGGCGATGCTGGGTGGCTGGGCAGTGCCACAGAGAAGGAGCCTGTGCTAGCAGGGATATGGTAACGCTCTTGAGTCTTATTTTATTCCTGCCCTCCGCCCTGTGCTGGGGACAACTCTCAGTGAGTCAGGGCTGCTTGCAAAATATCCTGGAGTCATTACTGACAGCCTAGAGCTCAGGGCTTAGAAGCGGTCAGGAAGGGAAATAGAAATGGAGGAAGTTTTGGAAGGAGAAGAAAGCAGCCCCGTTGTTATGTTGTTGCAGGACCACGTGGCCTGAACGTGCGCTGCTGGGGTGTCCCGGTGTCCCTGCCTCGAGGGATGGTCACACAGTGCAAAGGCTGCCGGCGAGCTGGAGGTATGGCAAAGCTGCTGTGCAAGGAGGGATTGGAACAAGCGGGATTCAGCCGGGAAGAGCAATGAGTGGGGAAAGGAGGGTGTTAGGAGAGGTGGTGCAACCATGAACGACCCACAAGAAGCAAGGGCAGACGGATTTCTGTTGGTGCAATTGGGTTTGTCGATGTGAAGTGGAGTGAGTGGTGCATGACTGCAGAATTTATTGCCTCAGGCTGTTTGGGAAATGTGAGTGGTTTCAAGAAGCAATTAAGCAAATTTGCAGAGGATGGGCATTAGTACAGCTGATGACACAGCTTTTCGGAAGCTGTGTGCGTTTACTGGAAGGGAAATATATTCATATGTTTGTCCATACTTATGTGATTTCTCAGTGTATCTGCTCTTGGTCACTACAGCAAACGGGTAAGGGCTGACAGACTCTGTTTAATGAGGTGAAGATACTGTTGTTGGTAGTTCTAGTGTAAATCTGCTGTGGGCCATGAAGATGGGGATTGCCTGCTCTTCTCTGCCAGGCTGTGACTGGTGGCAGTGTCTGGTGTGTGAGAGGAGGCAGGACCTTCACACTATTCTGTACTTTGATGGTTAAGAAAGACCCGAGTCCAGTGAGATACTTGGACAATAAAGGCTAAGTATAAGAGCGTGTGGGCAGGTTATAAGTCTCTAACTGCTCTGAAGATACCACATTTGCTCACTTGTTCTCTGCACAGGATTAATTTACCCGCAAAGGACTTGCTGTGTGGGCTCAGCTTGCCAGCCAGCCAGCACGGCACCCACAGCCACGTCCCGCTCGGGGTTTCAAGAAGGCAGCAGCTGTTTAAGTATTTTTACAGGTTTGGGGGATTTTTTTTTTTTTTTCCTTTCTGGTTTTGTACTCATAGCTGACACCTTGTGCTTTGTGTAGGTGATAAGTTTCCATCACCTCCAGAAAAGCATGTTTGCACTAACTGGTGCCATACAGCAGCACACACCAGTGACTCCTCTAAAGGTCTGGAAGAGAGAACCACTTGT